AGCTTGTTAAAATTTATCAGATTTAAAGTTAAAATTTTGTTGAATTTCTGCGATGTAGAAAAATTTTAAATTTTTTCAATCAATGGTAGGGACGCCAAAATATTTTTTTATAATTTTGGAATTTTAGTGTTTGGTTTTTTTTTTTTGTGAGTAGTACAAAATAAATGAGTGAGCTCTAAAAAAATGTAGATTTTGATATTTTAAGGACCACCTAGGTCTAGAGTATATTTACATACACAGAAAACGAAAAAGTGAAAGAAATGTACAAAATATTAACGAAGCTAAAAATTTACTCTGCAAAGCTTTTGAAAAAATGTGCTTGTGCTATATACATATATGTATGTATGTACTATACATACCTATGTACATAAATAGTTACATATATGAATTGGACTACGCGTGTGTGAACAAAACCACATTTCCTCTCAAATGACTACTGGGCGAACAAATACTTTGCATAGGAAAAAACTTCTGCAATGTATTTCCCATAGAGAACAGCAAATCTGAGCATTTATAGTTGGCAATTTCAAAAGTTTTTCTTTATCGTTGCCTGCCACTTTGTTTTTTTTTTTTGTTTGTATTTCAGCTTTAATATCAGTTTTTTCTGGTCTGGCATGGAAAATTGAAAATTCCAAGCATTTTTTATTTTGTTAACACCTTTGCATAAATGCTTTGAAGTTTGCTGTAGATTTTTCTTTTTGGTTGTGACATTTTTGCTACATTTATGAAAAACTCAGTTTCGCATGAATTCTGTATGATATTCAGCAGTGGGAGGAAGCCAGAACTGATTGCCGTGTTTTGAATGGAAGTCAAGCTTTGAAAAAAGTTGTGAAAATGAATAAAACTAGAAAGTGGAATTCTACGTTTGCAGTATTTTTTTACTATTTAATAGTGTCTAACGTAGTATATTTAGCAGAACTATGGATTTATACCATTGCAACGAAGTCGGTTTATACAAAAATGTTATAATTTTCTTGGTTTGAATGAATTTAATTGAATGTCATAGCAATGCAATTTTACCTTGCAAAATTTTATATATTTTGTTTGCAGTTTTGTAGCCTATTCAATTTTATTATATATAATAAAGTGCAGGTTTGACCAGTTACTTCAGTAGTAACTTACCGATGATTTTTGGCATTTTTTATTTATTTTTTTTTTTAAATGTGTTGCTCATTTTTTACACATAAAAATATCGTATAGAAGAAAATGATTGATATTGCCAGCAAAAAAATATCGCCGCTACTTTAGACTAGCACTTTATTATATCTGCATATTTCTAAGAAATTAAAAAGCTCGAAATTTTTACGAAATTTATTTATAATACAATCAGCGTCAAAAATGTGAATACCGTGCCGTTTCATTATTTATATTTTCCACACGAAACTTTTCTTATATTTTTTATAAGAATAAATCAGGGGAAACATTTTCTTTTCAATTTCATATAGAACTCGGGAAATTCAAGAAATACCAAAAAGTTTTCACCAAAATTTTCAACTTTTCAATTAGATTTTTTAGAAAAAGTTTGAGTATACAGTTGTGAAGCCCATTAAATTCTAGTTTCATAAGGTGCAAGTTTCGAGTCTGCAAAAATTACGGTTGATTTTTTATAATTTTTGTTTTTGGGCATGAACAAAATCAATCTATTTTTATATGGAAGGAAAAATATGCAACTCCCTCAAATTGGTATGGAAGATACAAATAAAAAAATCGTATTCATATTTTTAATTCATCAGTGAAACGAAATAAGAATCACAATGTCAGATGAAAGGAATTTGAAAAGATTTTAGTTTGAAAATTATTTTAAATAGGGTTGCCACTTGTTCAAAAATAGAATAAGAAAACACCTTTTCTACTCGCTCATTTTGCCGTTTTGCTTAAACGTGTCAGCCTACAAGTTGTTCGCAACATTTTGGACCATGCCAATTCAACGAAACTTCCATAAACTTAAAAACTTTTTTGTGATACTTAACAATTTTTGGCACGAATCTCAATGACTCAGCTCATCATTAGCCGAACTAAAACTTTCTTATTTTGCAATGAAGAAGTAGAAAGTAAACGAGGCAACAAAACACCGCTGTAACTGTAGAAAAACTAAGAAAAGCAAGCAGCAAATGTCGATTGCTAATTATTAATTGAACAAGTGAAAATTGCGATTGACTTGCATGCGTTGCGCGCTGTGTTTCTGTTTCAGGATTTCTAAGTGAAAAGAAAATTCAAGGTGGAGGACACAAGCAATGACGATGCTGAGAGTAATAAATAATTTATATTTTTATTTAGTTAATAGCGATGCGGAAAAGAAGTTGAAGAAACTCTACAAAGAGTGCCACGTTCAGAATACATACAAAATGGATGTCAGCTGAAATAAAAAAATAATAATCAACTTGTATGAACAAAAGTTAGTTAAACAAAAACAAAAAATCTAAGCAACTAATTAATTAGCTAATTCCTATGATCTATGACTACTTGAATATGTAAGTATTAATGAGGGACGTTGAAAATTTTTGACATTTTCTTTTACAATTTTCAAATTGAAAAAGTTTACTATATTTGTGTGTGTAGCTCTAGTACTTTTGTTACAAATCATTCAGATTTTATTGCGTCTTTTTTCCGTACAGCTACTTTCCCGGTAATCTTGCAGCAATTTCAAGATCTGACCACTTTTTTGCGCACCAGCTTTTTTAATATTTAGATATGACTCAATGCCAATTGCCGTCAAAAAATTATTATCAAGAGCATTCATACCAGCTATACAATAAAATCAGGCATATACAAATATGCCAAGAGCCTGTAAATTAGATAATTCCAAATTTATTTCACTAAAAGCGATAAGCGGCAAATTGATTGATAAGCATGCACTTATGTATTTACATATATACGTATGTATCCACACAAACATACTTACATGAACACTGAGATACACAAGTACATACATACATACATACGTTCAACCAAACCAATGTGACTACTTCAAATCGCGCTAAATCAATCAAAGTACCGAAGACGAAAGCGGCAATATTCCATAATCGCTTGTCATTCGTACACTTAACGGCATTTGGTGTTGTCACATATTGTTGTCTATATCGCAACAGCATGTGTGTGTGAGCTGGTGAGAGAGAAGGCGCTAAGCAGCGGGTTGGCAATTTATGTTGTAAAAGCGTCGCTGTCGTCACCGGCTGGCTGCCGGGTTGAATTGCGGTGCTTTACAAGATACTACTTGTGCCGAGTTTTTGCTGTTATATATTATAGCTTAGTTATTTGTTTTAAGCTTATTTTTTTTCTGTTTTCTTAAGTCCATTGCACTTGCCAACCAACGCGCATTTTGGCGTTATTTGTTCAGCTTGATTGATTAGATCCACTCAATGTGACGTATACGTCCCGTCGTGTTGTTGAGTTGTTTGCCAACAAGAGGGGTGCTAACATAAGCAACACGTTGAATACATACATACATATATATAGTATTTTGAAATCGTACGCGTGATGTTATTGGTTAGTATTGACTTTGCTTGTTATGTGTGTATGTAATTTTTTTTTTAAATTTTACTTTTTACTCTTTAGATTATCGATTATATATACCAGTGCTACTTGGTCTGCGCTTACATTTTTATTGGTGTGCTTATCAATTTCTAATCGAGTGTTAATTAAACACTAAATTTATATAGGTAACAACATATGTACATACTTAGACGGATATGTAAGAGTGGTTGTCTTATCGTAAGATATTATGAAAATTATGATTCTGACTAAAAATACTTACACTGCCGGCAAAAAGTATTGGCACAGCAAATTTTTCACGATGGATGCAACAATTTTATTTCTAATATTTTTTCGCCAATTTTTTTATAAAAATGTGGTACATTCTACAACAAAAAACGTTAAAATATAATTTCTAAATTTTTTGTAAAACTCACGAAAATTCAGCTAATTTTCTCTTTAAACAGATTTTTTAGAATTTTTTTTGGGTATGCAGCTATAAAGAAAATTACACACTTAGTCGCATGGGGTCCGCAGTGAACGCAACAAAAGTGTTGAAAAAAGAGTTTTCAAAATAGAAAAAAAAAAACGAAGTGTTATTATCAAAAATATTTAAGTTCTTTTTTATTTTTAACTTAAAAAAAAAAAACAAAAACATAATTTCTACTTCAAACTTAAAAAAAAAAAAAAATAAAAACTTTCCTCCACCAAAAAATGTTACGTTGGTGGTCGTATGAGGTCAGGACTTAAAAGACAAATGAAGTTTTTTATAAAATACCACTACATGGCTTTTTTATTTAATGAAACTCTTTTGGAATAATTTCAAATTTTTTGTAATTTGTTGCTTCGAGTTTATTAGGGAATAAACTCTTCTTAATTTTAGCTGTTGTATATACTTACGTGTAAGGATAAATATATACCTACATCTCTGCTTGTATGTGTCTTTGCATGTACGTATGTTGCAAAGAATTCGAATGCTTATATCCGATTAAAGTACTACATAGCGCTTTTAATATTTATTATAATTGTGCTTTTCACCAAATAAATATCACTCTTAATGGCCTGCTAATGAGTGCCAGACATGTCACGAAATGGCCGTAACGTGTATTCGCATAACATGGGCTTAATCTATTTAGCAATTGTTAACGAATAAATAAGTATTGATTATGGTTGCAATTAATTGCTCCAGCCTAAATTAATTCATTAACACGAAGAATTTTTTGTAAGAAAAAAAAACAGTAAAACTAAGTAATTAGTAGAAAAAGTGGTCACGAATTATGTCGAACAACAGTGGAGGGACGCTAAAATAACACAAAAGACGCCGTTTTTCTAGTTCACGTCTCTTTCCCAAGATAATTTGATTTTATGTTTGCAGTGTGATTGAAACAAAATGCAAACTCTAACATGCAAAATATTGCTTATTCGCCATATACGAGTATGTACGAGTAGAGTCCGACCGATTAATCGGCATCGGCATCGGCATCGGCAAGTATCGGCACAAAATTTAGCATCGGCATCGGCATCGGCATCGGCACTTTTTTGCCGATTCTTTGCCGATTCTTTTCCGATTATTTGAAATTGCTTTTCATATGGACTTTATACTTTATTTCAGTTGAATACCCTTTATCTTGTCTCAAAAATTTTTCATTTGAATTGTCCTGTAAAAGTTGTGTTTCTTTCTCACATTTTGTTCTGATTATTCTCTTTTGTTTTTCGTATGTACATATATGTTGACGTTTTATTTTTCAATAGAAATTGGCCATAAATTCGCGCTTTTTGTAATTCCTGGTAAGTAAGTGCAATTTATTATCAGTTAAATCTTACAAACTTTTATGTTTTTAGGAATAATGGCTCAGGCAAACCCTATTTGGAAGTTTTTCCAAAGAAATTCGAGCACAGCAAAGTGTGAAATATGTTCAAAGGCAATATCTCTTGGTAACGTAAATAAGAGGCGACAAACAACAGCCAACATCAAAAAACATTTGCAGACAGCTCACAAAAATGAGTGGAAAATTTACCTTAAAGAGCAGGATGAATTTTTAGCAGGAGTGAAAAAGCAAAAAAAGACGGATCCAACTTCCAGCACACTCCAAGAAACGCTGCCGAGCTTACTCCAGAGGAAAAGTGGATATTGTTACCCAGACGATCATCCAGTGACCTTGCGAATCGACAAATCCATAATGGATTTAATTATTGTCGATATGCTGCCCTACAATATAGTTGAAGGTAATGCGTTTAATAGGTTAAACATTTGTGATCCAAGCGGCGATAGCAGATATCGCAAAAAGAGCGAAAAGTTTTTCCGGACTACGTTGATGCCAGCAACCTACGATAAGATAAAGCACAAAGTTACTTATCTCATAGCAAATGCGGAATGGATCAGTTTCACAACTGATATCTGGAGCAACTCCACCAAATCATGCTCCTTGCTCAGTTTTACAGCACATTTCATAGAAGGGCCTCGTAGGCTAAAAGTTATTTTGGCAGCTAGCGTTCTGGAAACTGATCATACCGCTCAAAATATTTTTGCTGATTTAAACAAAGTTATAGAAGAATACAACATTCGGTCAAAAATTCATTTGGCGGTAACTGACAATGCTGCAAATATGAGAGCAGCAATGAAGTTGGGTAATATTAAATGGTTTGGGTGTACGGCACATAATTTGCAACTTGTGATTCA